AATGCTCATTTTGCTTGAACATATATCCCTGTTTGTCCATGCAGTGCCATAAACACCTTTGGTATTACAAAAATAATAACTAGAGTTTGCATATACATTGCTACACACATTCAAAGGCTTCTGACTTGGAAATCTGACTATACAATCATTGTATCAGTAGATCAACTCATATAATATATGTGTATTAGAGTAGTACATATGATAATTTGCAGAGCCATATGATAAAATTAATATTATTGTACACCTTTTACTATCTCAAAGGTGTAAAACATGACCCTGCTAATAGTGTTAAACAAGGTTCAGGATTTGGTACACAGGGACCTTAGTCCACTTAGTCTCGTGGCAAATACACTAGGAAATTCATGCCAGTGGTTGGAAATCTGTTGACTGAAACACACAAAGGAAAAAATCAAAACCAAGTAAAAAGCACTGAAAAGGAAATCGAGTGATCGAGCAAAACAAACTTAATTAAAATATATCAAAGCCTCTTTTTTAGAAAGGGTGAATATTGGTTAGAGTCTCTTATTCTGTCAAACAGTCCTGTTTGGTGGGGAAGAAAAGATTAGTTCTGTTGTTCAATTTCGAGCTGGGAATGATAATCACTTTCCTGCTTTTGACCGAAGACAAACACAGAAGGGAGAGAAGACACAGGATAGTAAAGATGGAGGGAAATATGATTTTTGTTGATGTCCTTAGGATACAGATCAGCTGGTCAGTCGTGGATGGATACTCCGTGCTGGCAAGTCAGCTACAACAGCTGTTGCTGTGTACCCTGGTTTGCCTCGCTGGATAGGAACATCATCTGATTGGTCTGGTCAGGTTCCTCTTTCACTGGTCCTTCTTGGGCCAAGCATTGCTGAATGGGCATCTCATCTCCCTGTGCTGGTGCCATGCAGTATAGTTGATTTCAGGATCGGGGAGAAGCTGAGAGAGAGAGAGAGGGGGCAGAAGAAAGGTAATGGGGGATGAAAAGGGATAGATGAGAGAGAGGAAAACAGTGGAATCTCACAAGTATCAGGCTGGCCTCCTTGTTGGTGCAGCGGTAATGGTTGAGCTCCCTCACTGGAGTATCAGGGTCTGGGTGTTGTGGCAAAAATCCTTCCACCACAGCCACAGTGGTGATAGAAGTCTTTTTTTTTCTTTCCACAAGCCTCTTTTTAGGGTCCCAGAAACAGGTCATGGGTGGAATGGTCACATCCGCTTATTATTTTGTCCACTAATTAGGCCTAATTTTCAAAGCATCAATTTTGGTCCATTAATTTCCAATCTCCTACTCCTCTTGTTTACCTGTCATAATCTTAACACAATCTTTGGGTGGTATCAGTTTAAATTAAGCCAGTCTTTCTGTCTCTTCCTTAAATGTTTTCTTTTTACACAATTTTGTATAGCAGGCCACTGTAACAATTCATGAACCCTTTACTCACTTTCCACTGGTGTGTTTGCAATGATGCTAAGCAGATTGAGGTCTCTGTACATCAAATCCCCAGCCTTGTTTAACATTTTACCCAATAATCTCCCTTCTGGGGATTCATCCTAGCATTCCAAACCTCTGGGCAGTTTCAAAGGGCTGCTATGTGGGGGGAGGGGAGAATGCTACAGAAATGTTTCCTTCTCTTGCTATATCTCCCATTCCATCTAATATGGAATTCTTCTTCTCCCAGATAACTAGGGTTACCATATTCAAACATTTAAAAAAGAGGACACTCCAGGGGGCCCCGGTCCCGCCCCTGCCCCAACTCCGCCCCTTCCCCACCCCCGCCCCAACCCCACCCCTTCT